AGTTGTTGCAAAATGAGATTTATCATATTTTCCAGATTACAGCTAGTCTCCTGATGTGAGTTTAACACTGCATTTGGTGGGAACCTAAGACTGGCACCTACGCAACTGACTGAGAGGTCCCATGAACACTGCAAGTCAGGGAAGGCTTGCCTCTGTGACAGGCATCACTCTACTCCCCTAGGCTCAAGTGCTTATTAACCACTGAGCTCCAGCATAGTTTTCTCACACCTGTGGCCTATGCCAACTACCTCTCTGTGCAGCTGTGGGGAAAAAATTCGATAGGCAAGTTGCTTTTACCAGTAACCTCAGATCCTTTATGGGGAATTTGAAAAAAAAAAAAAAAACTTAAATGAAAGAACAGATCTTTACTACATATCAGTCTCAGGAGTTCATTGGGGGAACTGATAAGCTGCAGAATCTAAGGCCCAAAGAGGTGGAGAGACATCTCAGAATCAGTCAAACACTGCTGAAACACAGCAGATGACAATGTCCCAAGAGTATGCCTGCTGGGTGGCACGAGCTAGTACACTGCTAGTCCCCACTAGAATCCATAGCTTAGCCTCTCTGCAGCTCAGTTCCTCCAACTCAGGACAAACTCTACACACTTGCTATCACACGCCCATAAGTTATCCCAGAGCAAAACCAGTAAAGCCCAGGTGTCCTTTGCCAAGAGTGTCCTCTTTCCTGGGGTCAGGCATTTTTCTGGGTAAAGGAGAATGCTCCAGAGAATACCCACACCGCTGCCCAGGAACACTTGACTGAACTCTTGGCTCTTTTTGGCAAAGAGTTTTAGGTAAGGCCACAAACAGTAGCAGGAGCAGCAACCCTTCTGCTAGCTTAGTGGGCACAACTGGGAAGGAAGCCATGCTCCCTCCCCTCTCAGCCGGGCTTTGGGCAAGGAGCAAGGGGCCTCCTAGGCAGATTGTCATTAATCCTGGACTATGTCCACACTCCTCCAAAGTGTGCCAGGGCATTGAGGAGCAGGGCTCAAAGCCAATGCCTGCCCCCAACACACACCCACTCACACCCATTCACACACCAGGCATCATTTCCACTAATTTCTTGCCATGGTTGGCTAGGGTTATTGCCTACTCAGAGCTAGTTGCCCTATTGTACTGCCAAAAAGTACAGTGAATTTATTGAGCCTTGAATGTGAAGTGCCTTCCAAATTAGCCCTGTTAACCCTCAGTGTGAGGGGAAAAATTATATCCAGAGTGGGGGCAGAGCCAGTTAAGGTGACCTAGATAATTTCTATTCTATTTTTTTTCCCTCAGGTCCTATGCTCAGCTGAGTAATTTCTGTTCTTCACCGAATCTTTATGTAGCTTATTAAAGGGTCACGATTATTGTTATCAGAGACCAGGGTTGGACCATGGGTGGATGAAACTACCATGGACTTGGCCTTCTATTACACATTTTTCATTACTTTTTATATATTTAATAAGAATTTACTGAGGCCCCATGATGTGCAAACTACTGATTGAAACACTCTGAGGGATACAGAGATGAATGAACATGGCCCCCGCCCACCGCACAGAGCACACAGTCCAGTGGAGAGCCTGATTCTAAGTGTCGGGCAAATACCACCATCTTTCCTATTTCCAAGCTATACCCTGTTTGTTTCCTAAAAGGAAGTAATTTAATAGAAAAGTTATTTAAGGCTCAGCGCCTGTGGCTCAAGTGGCTAAGGCACCAGCCACATACACCTAAGGTGGCAGGTTCAAATCCAGCCCGCCCGCCAAACAATGACGGCTGCAACCAAAAAGAGCCGGGTGTTGTGGCAGGCGCCTGTGGTCCCAGCTACTTGGGAGGCTGAGGTAGGAGCCCGGGAGTTGGAGGTTGCTGTGAGCTGTGATGCAACGGCACTCTACCCAGGGGGACAGCTTGAGGCTCTGTCTCAAAAAAGGAAAGAAAGAAAGAAAGAAAAGTTACTTAAGATAATTTTGGCAAACATTAGAATTCAAAGCTGTGTTGGAGGAGGGAAAGGCAAATGGCCTAACCACACAGCTGAGATGATGGTGGTGCTGCAAGGCATCCAAGCGCTGAGCTTCCTAGAGGTCAGGGAGAGAAAAGAAGTACAGCATGGGAACGCGAGGGGGTGCTCCAAAGCCATCGTTCCTGCGCCTCCGTCTCATCTCCCTGTGCTCTCTGTCCTAGGCCAGCGGCTAGGACCCCTGGGCCTCCTGGGCCCCTGGGAGCACAGCCCGAAGTGTGCAGCGAGGAGGCTCCCCACTGTGGGGCTCAGCCCTCGGGGGGCCTCGCTGTGCCCGCCCCCTGAGAGCTCCGCAGGGCCCCAGCAGCCTGGCCTGTGTGCCCCCCGCAGCCGCCTGATCCCCGCACCGCGGGGTGCGGTGCTGGTGCAGCGGGAAAAGGACCTGTCCGCCTACAACTGGAACTCCTTCGGCCTGCGTTACGGCAAGCGGCAGACAGCACCCGGAAGCTGCGGCGACGGCTCTGGGCGGGGCTGAACGCGCAGGTGCCGACCTTGAACTTCCAACCCGGAATGAGGGGTCGGAACCCGCTGAGACTGGGGCGGGGACACAGGGCACCTCAGGGGATATTGGAGCTACTGGTTTGAGGCAATAAAAGAAATCCTGCCAACTCACTAACGTGTGGTTTGTGGCTAATTTCTGCAAGCAGCGCTAATGAGATAAGTTCCCCTTCTCTCCTCGATTGGATAATTAGTCCGTTTTAAGATGCCTCTGGTGTCATCAAGGTCAGTGCTTCTCAAATGAGATGTGATGAAGGAAGGTTGTTTGTTATTGGGGAACAATATTATATATAATATATATTTATATTAATATACATTTTAATATATATTATATATGTGTGTATATATACACCATATATTTTAAATTCTGAAGATCTGAAAAAATACATAAACAACTATAGAGAAGCCCAACTTGGATGCTGCTTGGATGTTTCAGCAATATCAAATTTCTAAAAAAATTTCTGAAGCCATCTTCTAAATTCCTAGACTTACCTCTCTGAGGATGGGTAACATTTTGCCAAGGGGCATGGGTGTGGCAGGGTAGTGGTGTAGACTGTTAAACACTTTACCCTTTCCCAGGGAAGTTATCAGCCAAGTGCACAGTTTGCTCTACAAGATGATTCCAACCACTGTCCTGTCCACTGAGCCCACAGGCAGACCTCTGCCAGGGGTTGGCCCCAACGTGCTGAAGTGCAATGGGCATCAGCCGTGCACTAGGCCATTCATCCTCCCCCGGGCACTTTACATGGGTTACTTTTCTTCATCTTTGTAACCACCCAGGGAGATGGGCATGTATTTTTTCTTTTATTTTTTTGAGAGAGCAAGAGTCTCACCGTTGCGTTGGCTAGAGAGCCCTGGCGTCATCATCATAGCTCACAGCAACCTCAAACTCTTGGGCTTAAGTGATCCTCTTGCCTCAGCTTCCGGAGTAGCTGAGACTACAGGCACCTGCCACAATTCCTGGCTGGTTTTTCTATTTTTAGTTGAGATGGGATCTTAGTCTTGCTCAGGCTGGTCTCAAACTCCTGACCTCAGACTGTCCACCCATCTCCGCCTCCCACAAGTGTTAGAATTACAGGTGTGAGCCACCATGCCCAGCCAAGATGGGCTTGACTTATCCCCATCTTTACAGGCAGAACTCTGAAGTTCAGAAAGATAAATAGGCTCGGCACCTGTGCTTAGGGTGCTGGCCACATACACAGAGGCAGGCGGGTTCAAACTCGGCCCCGGGTCTGCTAGACAACAATGACAACTATAGCAAAAAAATAGCCAGGCATGTGGCAGGTGCCTGTTGTCCTAGCTTCTTGGGAGGCAAGAGAATTGCTTAAGCTTAAGAGTTTGGTGTTGAGCTGTGATGTCACAGCACTCTACAGAGGGTGACATAGTGAAGATCTGTCTCCAAAAAAAAAAAAAAAATTGATAAGTAACTCACTCAAGCCACATAGCCAGTGACACCAGAGGCTGTCTCCCAGCTGCACCATCATGCCTATCTGAGATGGCAGGGTTTCCTTCCATCTGAGGCAGATCCGGAAAGGACAGTCTGGGCTGGGTGCAGTGGCTCACACCTATAATCCTAACACTCTGGGAGGCTGAGGTGGGTGGATTGCTTGAGCTCAGACCAGCCTGAGCAAAAGTGAAACCATGTCTCTACTAAAGAAATAGAAAAATTAGCCAGTTGTGGTGGCGCACACCTGTAGTCTCAGCTCAGGAGGCTAAAGCAAGAGGATTACTTCAGTGCAAGAGTTCAAGGTTGCAGTGAGCTATGATGACACCACAGCACTCTACCCAGGGGACAGAGTGAGACTGTCTGAAAAAAAAAGAAAGAAAGAAAAAGAAGGGCGGTGCCTGTGGCTCAAGGAGTAGAGCTCCAGCCCTGGCCAAAATCTGTAAAAAAAAAAAAAAAAAAGAAAGAAAGAAAAGAAAAGAAAAAGAAAAACGACAGTCTCCTTTGCAGAACATTCTTGGGGGCCCAATAGCTGGAAGAAAAAACTAGTAGGAAGGTGTAGAGTTTGTCACTAGGGAAACCCCAGGAAATCCACCTTCCCACCACAAGAAAACTCAGCCCTATTTGACAGCCTCAGGATACCCCTCTCTTGCTTGGTCTAGGGTGAAAACGTCCTTTCCTGGAGGAATAGGGTGCCTGCCCACATACTATGAAGTGGCACAGCGTTCCACCCTTCACAGAATCCAGGACTGCACAGGAGGGAGGCAGAGCTGTGTTGCTATGGCAATGAGATAGGCTACCATGGGAACATGACAACCTGCTCCCCCCCTCTCTAGCCTTGAAACCACCCTCCAGGATCTCAAATTATCAATACTGCCGTGAGTTCATGTCATAGCATGTCATGACAGCGTGATGTTGTTGATGTTTGGAAGGGCATTTTATCCCAAACACCCTGGGGTGTGTCCCTGTACCTCCAGGAGAGGAATCATAAACGCATTACCTCTTTTGCTAAGTGAGTTTTCCTCCTAGCCCCTGGAACTAATCCTTTCTCTGATGAAGTCTGTGAGTAAGAAAAGGCTGATGGGTCCTTGGCTCTTAGCCAGCCTAAATTTTACAAAATTTCCTGTGACCCCATATACCCTACCTCAGTGCCTTAAGTTTTCGGCAGATGGGAGGAGTGAGTGTGAGTGTGTGTGCGCGCGCGCGCACGCATGCTGGAAGGTTCAGGAGAGGGAAACGTGTTCTCTGGTGTGAGAATCAGGCCTGTCTGTGTGTGAGGGTGCATTTTTGAGGAGTAAACACAAGAAACTACATTGACCTTATGTGTGGTATGGGTCCCTCTAACCACATTTCAGGCCTTGTCAGTGCTCACTGCAACTCAAGTGCCCCCCCAAATCTCTCTTCCAGTTGATCTGGAAACCCTTCTTCAGCAGACAGCTGGAGGGAGCTGAGTGCCTGTCTGTGCCTCCTGCCCCCAGCACTGCTGGCTTCCGGACTCTGGCCTTTGCCCTTCTTGTCCCCATGTCTTTGGGAAAAGATGGGAGTCTGTGAAACAAAGGGGATTTTTGGTTTCATGTGGCTCCTGATCTAACTGAACCTGCTCTTCAGATTGGAAAGGAGGTAGGGGGAAGATTGGAGGCTGAGGAGGGTCCCAGGTATTCCCCTCCCTCTCTCCAGATCTTGTGGGTGGGTTCAGAGAGTGGGGACACCAGAACCCAAACACTTAGAGGTAGAGTTACCAAAGAACATTTGAACCTACTCTTCCTGGGATCTCTGCACAGTGTTCAAGAGGTGGGAATCAGGAGGGCCCAGGATGGGAGAAGTGGGAAGGTGTCTTTTCAGGCCCCACCCCTTATATAAGTCTTTTACAATACAAGTGGACTGTTTTCATACACCTGTGGAAAGGAATCTGGGGAGCAGGGGCAGGAGAAATTTAAGGAGATTTCTGCCACTCGTATCACTCTTAATATATTCACAAACAATTTTTGAATGCCTGCAGTGTGCCAAGCACAGGTCGTTGTGCACGGCTCATTTCACCCTCACGTCATCTGGATGAGACAGGCAATGCGTAGTATTATACCCATTGTATAGAAGTGAAAACTGAGGCTCAAAAAACTTAAATTGTGTGCTCGACATAGCTGTCAAGTTGCAGAGTCAGACTCCCGCATTCTAATTCCAAGCACCATCATCTTTCTACAAGCTGCAGCCTCTTCTTCTCCAGCCTCTGCCTTTCTAAGTACTGGACCCAACAATTTCCAGCTAAGAGCTGGACCCAACAATTTTCCTGAATGATTTGTCTTGGCACACAGCCTGGCAGGCCATGTAACTCAACCCTAGCCCCTCTCCAGCCCAGCAGGCCTCCTCCTCTCAATCTCTCACTGAGGGCCAGGCATTTGGCTTTTGCCTCTGCCCACATTCTCTCTTTCCAGCAGCTTCCTCAGGCCCAGACTTGGTCACACACATTTTTAAAAACATCAGAGCTGGGCGGCACGAGTGGCTCAGTGGGCAGGGCGCTGGCCCCAGATACGGAGGGTGGCGGGTTCAAACCCAGCCCCCACCAAACTGCAACAAAAAAATAGCTGGGTGTTGTG